GGAAAGAAAAAAAGAAGTGTGACAAAAAAAAATATGCTTGAATATATCTGCTTCTCTTTTTGCTATTACTTTCCTTTCTGCTTTTTCTTTTTTGGTGCTTTATTTTTATTTTTTGCTTTCTTTTTTGTTTTCTTTTCTTTTGTCTTCTCCTTTTTTTGAGAGAAAAGAGGAGGTTTGCATGCATTATCCTAAGATAGAAAAGTGAAATTTAGTGCTTCTTTTTATCGCATCAACTGCTGGAATACTATAAACTAAAAGCAACGTGAAAAAAAGGATTGAAAACAAGGGTTTTTTATTGCTAAATACTGGGTCGCCTAATTTTTCAAGAAAATTCAGAGATCGTAAAAAAGCCTAGGCAGTGAGATCATGAAAACAATTGTGGAAAATTAAATAAAATAAAAAATAACTGGAACGAAACGTAACGAGAAAAAATGCAACGGAGTTGCAAATAAACGGTACAACAAAGACATTGGAAAAAAAGCTTTGACAGGTCAATAAATAAATAAGTTCCTCTACAAAATAATTTAGTTGATCATGAAAGGTGAAACATTATAAAAAATCAATTTAAAAAAAAATATCCTACGCATAAACAACCTAATTATTGCTCGCGAAATCGCAGCCAACAAATGTTAATAAATATAACAATGCTAAATCAATGACACAAAATATGCTAAGCAAAACTTCATTTTGTTCCATTATTATAAACCCTAAAAAAACATTTTTTTGATTACGCACAAGTCACCGCTTCTTAAGCTGATTTTTTTCTTTTCACCAACTTAAAAAAAATTAGGTGAATGATATGGTCTAATTAGAGAAATGTACCGGTAGATACAATTCTAACAGATAAAAAAGTGCATAAAAAGCAAATGACATTCGTTTAGAAAACACTTACATCAATTCGACAAGGATCCAATACTGGAAAACCTGAAAATATTGTTAAGTTTTTGGGTTACCAAAGTCAAAAAGCCAGTAAAAAAAACGTTAAAATGCAGACTCGAAATGTATACAGGAACCGTATTTTCAAAAGGGTTGTCGCAAGATTAAATTCCGTCGAGACTTGTTACAACGTCTAGTGGATAAAAACGAACTGATTTCAACTGGTAAAAGGAAAGAGTTATAAGTCAAAACCAAACAGAAACAAACCTTTTTGTTTCTTTCTTTCTCTTTTTGGTTTAACGCGGAATGAAAGAGAAGATAACAAGAGCAAGAATTAAGATCAGTATTGATACGCAGATCAAAATCATAATTTTCTTCTGAAAAGGTATAAAAAGCAATAACTGAAGTAACTGTATTTCAAAGATGAAAAAATCAAATACATCCCACCACCGCCCCAAAAGCTCAATAACTTTAGTGCTGATGACTTCTAAGTTTGAACCATTGCAGCTGACTAATGGTCTTTTCTCCATGTTCCTCAAACCATATCTTGCGATCTAAGCACCGTGTAAAAGAACCAAAAAATTAAACAAAACTACCACTCCATTACCTCTCAATAATAATATTAAACCACCTGGCTAATGTTGCTGAAGAAAAGACTTAAAAACTTTGTACTTACGCGTTGCGCTAAATCCCCTCAATAACGTGAAAAAAACTTCTGCTTGTGATTCAAAGTTTTAATAAACCCTTCCCTGTATGTGGAACAGCACACTGTTGCTTACTTCATTTCGCGACATTAAGACAAAATTGACGTGTCACTGGCTGAAAACTCAAACAAATTCCTAGCAAAAAAATACATTTGGTGTTCCTTATTTATTTCCTCCAGTTCGATTAACCTTCATTAGACGTAAACAGACTACCCACTCAATCGATTTCTACCCCATTTCCCCTAGTGGCCCAGCCGATTAATAAATAATGCAAGTTAAGCTCTCTCTCTATAAAAAAA